CCTTCATTTATTTCATGGGGAAAATGGATGTGCCAATCTGGACAAATGTGATGAACAGGACTACAGGAGAACACAGTTACTGCTTCGGGTGAGATATTTTTGGTCATATCAGGGATCGTAAGGAAAGCTGACGTGGCGAAATAACATAGCCGCGTTAGAAGACCGTGGCATAGCTGATGTGGCGGCATCATAACATTGACATTGCCACAGCAGGCCAAAAGATTGACTTTTAAAATCAAACTTTGTGAGAGTTTGCTTTTTAAAGTTTTAAATCTAAAAGGGTTTAATTTTTTTTAAAAAAATAATCACTGCTTGGGGGCCTTGGGTCTTTGTGTATATTGTGCGTGGATATTGAAGCATATGAAAATAATTTTAGCAGTATGACCAATTATGGCAAATAAACGTACTAGTATGACGCATATATAGTTAAAATTCACAACCAAAAAAAAATCCTTAGTTACACATAACTAACTGAGATCGACCAAACCACATGTGCACACAATTTTTTTCTCAAAAGAGGGGGGCAACCAACCAGTAATACATTTACACACACTGGATTTTTCACATTTTGGTCCTTTTAAAAAACTTATTTCGCAAATAGACCCCTGAAAAAAACTTATCCCAGAAATGGTCCTTTTTAGGGCGCCAGAGTGGCTGACGCCGTCGTCCAACTGGACGGCGCCAGGCGATGCTGAGGTGACTAGGGGGAGCGCGCCAGAGTGGCTGGCGCCCCCCCCCCCCCCCCCCGAAATTTTTTATTTTTATTTTATTTTTTTGATTTTTTTTCACGCTTAGGGACATATAAGAACCAACCGTAGAAAAAATAAACTCAAATGGACGTAATATGTGACCTGTAGAATTTTTTTTCTCTCCTCTCTCTCCGAACTAGTGTAGAGGAGAGAGATGTGCAACTTTTTTATTTTTATTTTATTGATATTTTTTTTCATACTTAGGAACTCACAAGAACCAACCATATAAAAAATAAACTCAAACGGACGAAATATGTGGCCTGTGGAATTTTTCAAAGCTCTACCGAAAAACTTCTCTTCTCGAAAACACAATCTTGCAAGTTGGAATTTGGAGGTTTTAATATCGCCGAACCCCGCAAAGCCGGGGAGAATCGGGTGTAACTTTTTCTATAGATGTCCGTGAATATATTATTTGCCTGATTCCGAGTCCGTATGAGAAAGTTACGCCTATTTCAATAAATGGCATATTTTGTCTATTTCGGTAGAGTTTTGGAAAATTCTACAAGTCACATATTTTGTCCGTTTGAGTTTATTTTTATATGGTTGGTTCCTATGTTCTCCTAAGTGTGAAAAAAAATATCAAAAAATGAAATAAAAATAAAAAATTGCATCTCTCTATACTGTTTAACTTATGGCTATCATTTCATGTGGTTATATTTTGAATTAGATTAAGTAATTTTATATAGTCTAATTTACTAAAGGATCTCTTCTATGTTTAACATGCTGATCAAAGTGTTTTACTAAAGGAGTTATGGTCTAATTTTAGTGAAGGTGCAAAGTAGACTAATTAAGTGGTATGCTAGCTATTTTCAAACTTAGCTAAGTGGTAGTTTGAGTTTAAATTTTTTTTTTATGGTTGGTTGTATCGTGATCCTAAGTGTGAAAAAACATCCAAAAAAATAAAACAAAAATAACACCGTTGCAACTCCATACAGAGAAACAGAAATGGAGGTGAGGGGTGGGGGGGGGGGCGCCAGCCACTCTGGCGCGCTCCCCCTAGCCACCTCAGCATTGCCCCGCCACGTCGGCAGGGGGACGGTGCCAGCCTCTCTGGCGCCGTCCAGTTGGACGACGGCGCCAGCCACTCTGGCGCCCCAAAAAGGATCATTTCTGGGATAAGTTTTTTTAAGGGTCTATTTGCGAAATAAGTTTTTCAAAAGGACCAAAATGTGAAAAAGCCAGTTTACACACATATTCTAGCTACAAAAGTACAAGTTTACTTTCTTCTTCTTCAAATGAAATTACAAAGTGCTTAAACAATATTCAACGTGGACAATTCTTGGAATGGGTAAGGAAATTAAGATTCTTATCTGGTATTTTTTAAATCTTCCTTTCCTATATTTGGAATGTTGTTACTTGCTAGGAAATATAGTTGGAATGGAACACATTAGTAAGAAGGTCAGCCGTCTATTAATTCCCATGTTTCGACGAATATGACAATATGGACACATTAGGTTCAATATAAAAATGAAAGCACTTGTTAGGTTCAATATTCCTCAGCCTGGTCTTTCATTTCGATCTAAGTAATGAATTGGAACTATCAGATGCAATGAACTGGAGTAATAATTTTGAATTGAATAATGTTGTATAAGCCCTACAGTAGTACTATTAAGTATAGTACATTTGCTACCCTACATGCTACTAACAGAACATGCTAGGTAGGTGCATCTCCTAATGTGAAAGAAATGACCTCACAGAAATAACCTTAGTTATTACTTATTAATCCCCATTATGAAAGAAATGACCTCTTATAGAAGCAACCACTAGGCCAGCAGGAAATTAACTAAATATATATAGGAATAGTCACCCACATTTAACAATATGCTAAAGTGTAGTAATTCTAGCATACCCGCAGGGTTATTCAATGGTATATATTTTATGAAAAAGTACGAAATACCTCTCCAAACTATCACAGTCGACCGAATACCATATATTTTACACCATCAACTATTCAACCGGAAAAATAACCCCCCCCTCCCCCAGACTCAATCCGGAGTGTTTCTCGTCCTATGTGGTAGTTCACTCAACAATATTTTTATAAAAAAATCAATAGGACTATGCCAGATTCTCTCTCTATACCGGCTCGGCTATCTCTCTCTATCTCAGCGACAAGCTTCCCCACGGTAGAGGCTGAGGAGCGTGCACATCGGCGAACGCCGAGGAGGACCTACGAGCCTCCTCTCTGGCGCGCGTTGGCGGCTGTGAGCCTCCTGTTGGAGGCCTAGGAGGAGTTGCGTGCGCTGGTAGAGGACGATGAGGAGCCACACATCGGCGAAGGACAAGGAGGAGCCACATGCCGGCGGAGGTCGAGGAGGAGTCGTGCGCCGATGGAGACCGTGGAGGAGCCGTGCACGCCGATGGAGACTAAGGAGGAGTTGCAGTGACTACAAGCCTCCTCGCTCCAGCACCGACGAAGGTCTTTCCAAAAATTCCGAGGCTTGGCACCAATGCTGGGGAAGTGGCCGATGTCATACGGTGATGGCGGTAGCGATGATATGAACGACGGAGGTGGGGGAGGCGGCGAGAATGAGCTGTCGGACGAGGGGTCGTGATGAGGAGCTTCTTTGCCCGGACCTCTAAGGAGGGAAAGGGATGGAGTTGGAAGAAAGGACAGGCCGGTGGCCACCGCCGCGTGCTTCAGGTAGGGAAGGAAGACGGAGAGAGAGGTGGGGTGAGGGGAGGAGAGATGCTGACATGTGGTTCCCACTAATTATTCTTTAAGAAAATACTGACTGGACTACCACTCGTACACCACGTAGGATGAAAACCACTCTAGATTGAGTTAGGCGGGTTATTTTGTCCGGTTTAAATAGTTGAGGGTGAAAATATCTAGTACTCGAATTCAGGAGGTAATTTGATCGACCGCGATAGTTCATGAGTAATTCGTACTTTTTCCAATATTTATAGTGGAATGAGCTTATCTTACCCATGTGTCCGAGACTACACTAATCTGGAATTTCCTTGTAAGTACATATATTAAACGACAGCACCCCCAAAAGAATAATCCACTAATAATAGAAATTCAATATGCAATTCGGGATACTCTATTAATTCTGTAAGCAAAAGTCATAAAAAAATCCTCTCTCAAATTTCGATTCGTTCTTCCCAAAAATTCGATCTGTTCTGGTGTTGAAACTATAAGTTTGCTCCGAAGCAAACACTTCAAAATCATGTCTAACGGTCGTCATATGGCCTAGAAGTCCTAATGGATATGTTCTCCCTGCGATTCCGTTTTAGGAAAAAAAAAGGAATCTGTCTGGAAGGTGGCGCTTCTACCTCCTTGGGTCACCACGGCTCCCCAGTCGCTGTGGTGTCCTTGTGAAAGAGGAGAGAGCCCTACCGCCACCATCCTCGCGGCCGGCCAGCTTTGCCCATGGGCCATTTGGGTGGCAGCAAAGCAAAGCAGGAGGAGGAGGAGGAAGAAGGAGGAGCAACAGCGGTCTTCATTCAGTCACCGCCCGCATCGCTCTGGGGAGGGATCTACACGGAGAGTCTTCAAGTTTGTTATATTGACTATAGTTGGCCGTAAAAGGACACTTCCGGCCTCATCTTTTCGCTTATACTTATGCTTATCAGCAATCTTAAATTTAAATTTGATTTTAGAGTTTTTTCATTGAAGTTTATTTTTTAGACTTTACTTTTAGATCGATAAGAACAAGTTTATCCACAAATTATTTTTCGTTTGCAAATATACCGTTAAGCCAAACGATAAGGCCGTTCAAAACCGTGCCAATCATACTTGTAAGTACCGTCGCGTTTTCATTGACTCCGTTCATAACGCAAAAGTCACGAAAAATTCATTTGGGTTACCAAATCGTTATGACCCGAAAGAACAACGCTTACACATTTTCTAGCCACAAAAAAAATCTGTTTCAGTGAGAACAGTTGTATAGTCTTGAACATACCATCACCCATGACTTTCTTCTTTTTTTTTCCTTTCTTAAAAGTAAACATATAAGTCTACACCATGTACTGACCAAATTAAGGCTAAAGCCTCCAAGTCAATGTATTTACCCAGTGACAAGCCCATGTGGACATACACCGTATTACATTGCTACACTAATATACAGAAGATGATGCTTGAGATGCAGGCACACATCTGACCACATGGCTGGCTTCTGGATGCAGACAAGCACTGGATCTGCTGATTCACACTCACACAGACACATAACCCCAATGCCATCTCATCTCATCTCACTTCTTTTTTTCTACACCAATAATACACACCAAGTGGCCCCTAGAACCCTCACCACTCCTTGCCTACTACTACCACTTCACAACTCATCACTCCCCCAAAAATCAACCTCATGCCCTTACATCTTTATATACACTATGATAATATGCCCATGAATCTCACCAACCACACACATTGCCAATAACTACTAGACATTAGCTGAGATTAATCACATTCTAGATCTTGACTAATGACTATATATATATTTCTCCACCATTAGTGGCAAGAAAACAATTTAGCTAGCTTAACCAAGCTGGCCAAGATGATCAATGTGATTATAGTAACCTCACTACACCACATGCATGCAGCTATAGCAAATTAAGAGAGTGTAGGAGTGAAACTCTCCTCTTCTTCCTTGGAGTGTCCCAATCATTTCTTATGCTCCTTGTGTGTGCCATGTGCCTCCATTCCTACCTATATAATCCTCTCTCGCCATTGTACTGCTCCCACCTAGCTTAGCTCGCCAGTGGCATCGCCGGCGTGGCACACTAGCTAGAGCTAGATCCAATCGGCCGACGGCGAGCGATGTCGTCGTCCGGCGGCGGCGGGGTGGCGGAGGAGGTGGCGAGGCTGTGGGGGGAGCTGCCGGTGCGGGTGGTCTGGGCGGCGGTGGCGGCGCAATGGGCGGCGGCGGCGGCGGCGGCGAGGGCGGCGGTGGTGGTGCCCGCCGTGCGGGCGCTGGTCGCCGTGTCGCTCGCCATGACGGTGATGATCCTCGCCGAGAAGCTGTTCGTCGCCGCCGTCTGCCTCGCCGTGCGCGCGTTCCGCCTCAGGCCCGACCGCCGCTACAAGTGGCTCCCCATCGGCGCCGCCGCCGCCGCCGCCTCCAGCGAGGACGACGAGGAGTCCGGCCTTGTCGCCGCCGCCGCCGCGTTCCCCATGGTGCTCGTCCAGATCCCCATGTTCAACGAGCGCGAGGTGAGTCATCCACGACGAGGAATTGAGCATGATGATTAGTGATGGTGATTAGCAAGTAGAGGAGTAGTAATTAAGTTGGATTAATTAACCGTGGGTGATTAATGGGTGGATGAAGGTGTACAAGCTGTCGATCGGGGCGGCGTGCTCGCTGGACTGGCCGTCCGACCGCGTCGTCATACAGGTGCTCGACGACTCCACTGACCTCGTTGTAAAGGTAACCAAATTAATTCCATTATTATTCCCCTCTCTTTTTAATTAATTTCCGTCTCTTTTCAGCTGCAATTTTTTCCAAACCTGAAATTCGTTCATAAACAAATTAACTATATATATATATATATATATAGACAATTCAACAAATGCATGTGAAGGCTACTTACTCTAGGCCATTTTTTAGCTTCCATTTCTGTTCTTATTATAGTTTTTAACTTCTGTGGCCGCCGGCAACTCGTTGTCGCTGAGCTTGCTGTTTGCACGTTTTTACCCATTGTCGCTTCTCGTCTCCCCGTGTGCCACGCTGGCGCTCGCCGGCTGCTGACCTGGCCGTTTCATCCGTCCGCGACAACAACGACGGAGCGGTCAAAATGTTAAATTCACCGCATCACCACCATCCCTGCCACGTAGGCGACACATCGGCGCGGTGACTGACAGGTGGGTCACACGTTGCTCGTCGCGATGATGGCTACGAGGGGTGAGATGATGAGATGGCGGGAGTATGGTGGTATAGTGGCACGGCGTGCGGATGAGTCAGCAAAGTGTTTTCTGACAAGGTGGGGGCCAGTTTGTGTTGCCAGGGTGGCACAGGCCCACCCCGGGTGGTGGGGCCCATTACCAGTAAGCAGAGGAGTGCATTTGCATGTGCCGATTCATCAGAGGGGTTCAGAATATTGTCTCTGAGACCGATCCATCCGTAGATCGAACTGGACAAGAAAAAATAATTAGAGAGAGTGAATGAACACTGTAGCTTCACACGACAACGGGTAGTGATGAGCTAGTGTGTAGATATATAGAAATTCTGCGTACGTGATCGAGTCGCTGTCAGTCGTCGTCGTTAGCGTCCCTCCACAGAATGACACAAAATCAATCAAAATCGATCGATCGCCATCGATTCCCATTACCGTCCCCCTGCAGCTGATGCCTCCTGCTTTTGTCGGCCGGCCGCCGTGAAGCACGCCGCGCCGCACGGTGGTCCTGCGGTCCGCCCCTCTCGCCGGCGGCGGCGGCAGCGGAGGATCTGATGCTGGCCCGGCAAGCCCTGAGTAAACCGGTAATGCCAAGGTGTGCGTGCATCAAGCAACAGATTAATATGGGCTTCGATTATTTGATATCTTGACCCACTTTTATTTACTCGAATGGTTCTACATGTCATCCTCACAAGTATTAATTAAAGAAATTAGTCAACGCAAAAAAATATTAAATTATAAAATTTCTCTCATATAGTAGCATATACAGGTAATAAGTTGATACCCGTACTAGGCATTACTAGATAAAAATAATATTAGTATTTGAGTTCATATTTGGCTATAGTCTGAGTTCATATTTATAGTTGGAAGTCCGTTTTTTTAAACGGATAAAAGTAGGTATGTATGCTACTGCATGCGGCTGTGGTTGCTGATACGCCGAACAACTTATGATGATGATACATCAGCCTCAGGTTGCTGCGTGCCAATCAGGATCCTGTACTCGGTGCTCCGGACCAACATGTCAGTCACTCACTCAACGCAACTCTTTTTTAAAAAAACTTACATTTTATCAAGCGACAATGATAGAAGTAGGGCGAGCTTAAGTAAAAGCAGCTTTACACTTCATCAAAGAAGAGTGCTCATTGTCGTCGCTGGTGAGCTAAAAAGGCTTAGCAGGGACAAGCGTTTGTTAATTCCTGTCTCCACCAATGGCCTCATGAGGTCATGATCCACATGCGGCCATTGTTTAACCGCACAAAGATACACAAACTAGTAGCAAATTAACTAGCAACTGTATTAGTAGAATAGTAGTAGATCAGAGCAGAGAGAGAGAGAGAGAGAGAGAGATCTATTGTCCTGGAGGAGGCTGGAGCCATGTGAGCAAACGTTTCAGTGTTCTTCTTCTTCTTCTTCTTTTTAACGCAAACTTTGGAGAGATTGACCCCCGTTGTAAATTAATTGGCTTACCTGGTCAGCAGCCTTTTTGCCTGAAATACCGTACTGTAATTCAGTGGTGGCCCATTGGAGTCTTCTTTCCTAATCGCTTTGCTTAGTTGGTCCCCGTCTCGTTTAATAACATTTATACCTCTCTTTTGTGTACTCCTGCCTATTAGTACCTTTCGTCAACGCCACTTACTTCACCCACATAATACTCCCTCCGTCCCATTTCAAGCGCTGGCATGAGTTTCTGTGTCCAACTTTAATCGTACGTCTTATTTAAAATATTTTTATAATTATTACTTCTGTTGTTATTAGGTGATAAAACATTAATAGTACTTTATATATGAATTATGTTTTTTATCTTTTAAAAAGATTTTAAATAAAACGGACTATTAAAATTGGATAGGGAAACTTATCATTCGTATTTAAAATAGAACGGACAGAGTAGTATTTACCTCTCATAATAATTAACTTCAGATCACCGCGTCAACCATGTGCACTTGCTAAGAGGACGAAATTACAGACAGGCAAGGTCGGAGGTACATGCCAGGTCTTCTTCCTTGCAGGGGCGTATTTAGCGTATTTAGGATTTTAATATATGGATGGTCCAACTTACATAACTTTTATAAATATCATAAATATAATAAGATAATACATAATAGAAGTATAAATTGGTTAAAATTGCATCGTAATGTAGTATTAATAAGATTTTTTTTCTCTTCCCAATAATTTTTTCACATACATATATTTGTCTTGAGCTAGGTTTCTTTTTGTGGTCGGGTCCATCCTTTGGATACGCCAGTGCTTCTATGGAAGTAAGGAAATTCAAACAAATTTTACTGGAACTGAACTACCTGCATGTTGCACATCTTTCTTGTACTCTGGCCTGAACCGAACATATACATATACTGAAGCTGTGTTTAGATCCAAACTTTGATCCAAACTTCCAACTTTTCTATCACATCAACCTGTCATACACACATAATTTTTCAGTCACATCGTACTAATTTTAACCCAAACTTTTAATTTTGGAATGAACTAAACATAACCTAATTATGAATGCTCCCACTACACGTTGCAAATGCCAATCATGGAGGGCATCTATGGCTTTCCCTGTGAGTTCCGGCAGTCCCAGTGTACGCCACCCGTGCCGTCCCGGATTCTCTCCCATTACTACACCACAGCTAGCTCACCTAGCAAAAACCTTGCTCTTCCTCACACGGTCACCATGCTCGTGAGACCCATCCTTGCTGTTGCAGTTTGTTTTTATCCTTTGAACAGTGGATATGAGTGGACACTCCATGAAGAAAGCAATAGTTGTTATTACTCCCTCCGTTTCAAAATATTTGACACATTTAACTTTTTAGCACATGTTTAACCGTTGTCTTATTAAAAAAAATTTGTGAAATATGTAAAACTATATGTGTACATGAAAGTATATTTAACAATGAATCAAATGATATGAAAAGAATAAATAATTACTTAAATTTTTTGAATAAGACGAATGGTCAAACACGTACTAAAAAGTCAACGGTGTTAAACATTTTAAAACGGAGGGAGTATATGGTAAGCTCCATTGCCAAGTGCCAACTTGCCACTGCCAGATCTCGCATCTCATTATTTCGCTTACGCTTATACTTATACTTATAAGTTAAAATTTAAATTTTAAAACTTTTAAACTTGATTTTGTAGGTTTTTATCGTGATTTATTTTACGGTATTTACTTTTGTATCCGCTAAAGATATATAAAAATTTTGTCTATAAATTATTTCTTTATCTGTGCGGTACGAATAAGGATGAACCAAACTACGACCGCTCACATGGCAGGAAGTAGCAACTGATTTTTTGAGATGCTTCACCTTCACTGCTTGTCCTCATCGATTCCCAGAAGACTCAATTCCTGAGTTTTTGTGTACAACGTTTGACTGTCCGTCTTATATGAAATTTTTTTATGATTAGTATTTTTATTGTTGTTAGATGATAAAACATGATTAATACTTTATGTGTGACTTGTACTTTTAAATTTTTTCATAATTTTTTTAAATAAGATGGACAGTAAAACGTTGGACACGGAAACCTAAAAATTGAGTCTTTTTGGACGGAGGGAGTATCTTTGTTCTTGATGCTGACATGGAATTATCTTGTTTTGAGAGAGAGGGATGGTCTGAACGCCTGATGGATGGAATCTCGGTGCTGAGTGGACATGAATGAATGATGGAATCTTACTGGAATCTGTCGGAAATTAGTTCAGGAGTTTAGGGTGCTTTTAGTTCACGCTAAAATTAGAAGTTTGATTGAAATTGAAACGATATGATGGAAAAGTTAGAAGTTTATGTGTGTATAAAAGTTTTGATGTGATGAAAAATTTAGAAGTTTTAAAAAAAAGTTGGGAACTAAACCAGGCCTAAGTTCTAATGAAATTCACGTCAAATTCATTTTAAAAGAAACCTAAATCTCTTAATTTGTGAAAAAAAAACTACAAAACAATTCGGGTGTTCTAGATGGGCCTTAGTGGGTTCTCTTTGGGCCGGCCCCTGCATTTCTGTATACTGGGCCTAGATTTAGGACGTCACCGATAAGGTCATCTTCCAAGACAAAACTCCGGCGAGTGGGGGGGCGGCGGCGGAGGAGGAGGAGAAGGAAGCGGCGGTGATGCGAGGGAGGAGGTGGAGGGGGATATCTTCGTGGAGGAATGCGCCCTCTCGGCGCCTCGTGGATCGGAGGTATCGCAGATTTTCTTTAGTGGGATTAGGTTTTGCCTTATGCTGTTTGGTACGATTTGGTAGTAGTTGGTATGAGACAGATTCGTTCTCTTTTTAGAAGAAAAGATTTGATGTTTTAGGAGTATAATGTAATTGGGCTACATGTGTGTAATTTTTCTGTTGGTATGACTGATTTTTATTGCTGATTAATCTGGCAAATTCATTTTTTAGGATATCTCCAGTAGAATTATCAGATCTACTAGTAGTTTGGTAATTAAAGTGAGATTGGCCACTTGAATGGTGGTAGTGCAAAGGCCAGCTTAAAGTTCAGAGTGCTCGCATTGAGACTAGTTTGATCATTCTATCGGTGAATAGTATATTAGTATGAACACATTCCCCATTGTTTTCTATTTCGGTTTTCAGGATTTGGTGGAGAAGGAGTGCCAGAAATGGCAGGGCAAAGGCGTGAACATCAAGTACGAGGTCAGAGGGAACAGGAAGGGTTACAAAGCTGGCGCGCTCAAGGAAGGGTTGAAGCACGACTATGTGAAAGAGTGCGAGTACATTGCCATGTTCGATGCCGACTTCCAGCCCGAGTCTGATTTCCTCCTTAGGACCGTTCCATTCCTCGTGCACAACTCGGAGATCGCCCTTGTTCAGACTCGCTGGAAATTTGGTCAGTAGCCAGTGCATATGCATTATTTTTGCTGTACTCAGCACTCACTATAGTTTAGCAAATAACAATGATGTTGTGCAATAGCTTAATTTATTTTTCCTTTTGCAGGGTGTGATAGCTTAAACTGATCTGACTATCTTCATGTTGTGTATGCAGTTAACGCTAATGAGTGCCTGTTGACAAGGTTCCAAGAAATGTCGTTGGACTACCACTTTAAGTACGAACAAGAGGCTGGGTCTTCGGTGTACTCTTTTTTCGGCTTCAATGGTACAGCCTGTTGATCATGTATATACTAGTTAGAAGCTCGTCCATTTCCTGTAGATGAGAAATATGCATCATACACATGCTAATATTATTTTAGACAAATTAATGTGTGTTTCCTTTCATTGAGTACACCTTTTGCTTTAGTTACAAGAAGCACCCGACAAGTTCTTTATAATTCTAATTGTAAAATTAGCTTTTAGACTACATTTCTATGTGACAATTTGGTGACCACAAACCATGATAAATTTGCATTCTAGAGTTCAAATAATAAAATAATATCAATTCATGGAAGAACCAATGTGTAATATTTTAAATAACTTCATGGAGCACTTGGTAAAAAATTGAGTGCGGAATTGGTGCCTTGGTGGGGTTGTAGATTCACTGTCACCACCATTGCGTTCTTTAGAAGTACAGATAGGTCACCCAAACATCCAGATTTGCACATTATTTAGTAACTGTTGGGCTTAAAAAACAATGTTTTCACCTTTCAGGGACTGCTGGTGTCTGGAGAATTGCAGCAATTGACGATGCTGGGGGCTGGAAGGACCGGACAACTGTGGAGGACATGGACCTTGCGGTTCGTGCAACATTGCAGGGATGGAAATTCGTATATGTTGGTGATGTCAAAGTATGCCTATGCTCCTTTACTTGATTAATGGAAATTAGGTATCTTGACAATCAACAGACATAATGATCCACTGAATACTATGATGTTTTGTGGTTAGGTCAAGAGCGAGCTACCAAGCACATTCAAGGCATACCGGTTTCAGCAGCACAGATGGTCATGTGGACCAGCAAATCTGTTCAAGAAAATGATGGTAGAGATTTTAGAAAACAAGGTTTGTGTTTTGACTAGGCTATCTACTACCTTTGGTAAATGGATCGCATCTTCTTATTGGCTTACATGCTTACCCTTTTTCCCTGTGTAGAAAGTGTCATTTTGGAACAAAATCCACCTTTGGTACGATTTCTTCTTTGTTGGGAAGATTGCTGCTCACACAGTGACATTCATCTACTACTGCTTTGTGATCCCGGTGTCCGTTTGGTTGCCTGAAATCGAAATTCCTCTCTGGGGGGTTGTCTATGTTCCTACAGTCATCACCCTCTGCAAGGCTGTTGGAACACCCAGGTAACTAGCATCCCAATATTCAAGTTTCAGAATGACAGTGCTAATGTTGCTTTCAGTTAACACCTGTTTTTTTTTCTCTGTTTCAGTTCATTTCATCTTGTGATCCTCTGGGTCCTATTCGAGAATGTCATGTCATTGCACCGGATAAAGGCGGCAGTAACTGGTATTTTGGAGGCTGGCCGAGTCAATGAGTGGGTTGTCACCGAGAAGTTGGGAGACGCCAACAAGACAAAGCCAGACACCAATGGATCAGATGCTGTGAAAGTGATTGATGTGGAGCTAACAACGCCTCTAATACCAAAGCTCAAGAAGAGACGAACGAGATTCTGGGACAAGTAAGCAAAGTTTATTTTCAGAACTTTCAGAGTTAATACAATATTATACATTTGAAGTACTAAATACAATTCTTTGCCAACCTATGAGAATGCACATAATTCAAAGGAGACAAACGTTCTTTTTTTTTTGGGAGAGGGGGTTTGGGGGGGGGGGGGGTATATTTAACTGCCTTTTTTTTTTGCTAATGTTGATACATGTCTTCTTTATATCAGGTACCACTATTCAGAAATTTTTGTTGGCATCTGCATAATTCTGTCTGGTTTCTACGATGTGCTTTATGCAAAGAAGGGATACTACATATTCCTCTTCATTCAAGGCCTAGCTTTCCTCATTGTCGGTTTTGATTATATCGGCGTGTGCCCTCCTTGAGCAGAATAAGGTAGTCATTGATGGAACTGACATGCAGAATTACGAGAAATCATGTGCAAATGAAGCTGCTCTCCTGCACATATCAAGTTCGGAACAAAATTCAACACGGATCATTCTTCTCGTCAGTCTTGGTCAGATTTGATCCAATCATTCTTTGCTGCCAAAAAGGGCGTGGAAATAACACCGTCATTCTTTCAACAATCATAGTATTTACTGAAGCATCATGATAAAAAGTAGTGCAAAAGCATTCGATTCAGATCCTGTAAAGAAGCTGGAATAACAGAGTTGTAAATGAAATAGCGTGCTCTGCCAATTACTATAGACTCCAAATTAATTAGCCTACCAAAATTTGCCAATGTACTGATGTAGTTTATTCAGGCTGCAATACATGGCCCTCAGTCTATAATCTGGTGTAGTAGGCTAAAACTTGTAAATGAACATTGTTTCTGAACTCGAATAATTCTGTCAAAAAGTTTAGACAGATCTTGAAATGAATAAAGTACAGAATGTAAGCATTGCCTCTGAAGTCTTATGTGTATTTTTCAAAAAAAAGCTCCTAATCTCGGACGAGCAATCGACGCATGGATTTGTGTTATAGTAACTAGGACACAACTTTTATACTCCGTTCTAAAATACAAGCATTTTTAGCATAGTTACAAGCCAAAAATTTTAACTTTGATCATTAATAGTAAAAAAATAAAAAGATTAATCATGTAAAATTGATGTGACTAGATTTATCATTAAATAAACTATTATAATATGTAACTCTTTTTATTTAAAACATTTTACTTTTGTAGATATTATTGGTTAAAGTAGTATCTCGGAGACCATGTCAGGATCCAAAAATGCTTATATTTTGAGCGGAGGGAGTATATGCTTCTAGTTTTAGCGGTCCAAAAGGTAAGATTGAGCGAAGGAAACGAAAAGGGAAACCTAAATTACGTTCTAAAATCCAAATTTTTGTTTGCGACTTAAAAGCCGCAACTCAAACAAACAGGCATGTCATGGGCTTTATAAGCCCAACATGGCCCGCTTTGTACACTATACCGCAAAGTCTACCTTACGTCATAGGCCCAGAAGCCCAATAAGTCCTATTAGGCCCAACAGAATCTTGTTCTCAGAACTGCGCCGCCGCCGCGCGGATCACCGTGCTCGCCGCCGCCGACTTCCGGCCGTCCCCCGAATCCCCCTCCGGCGACCCCGGCTGCTCGCCCTCGTCCCAGCCCCAACCCCAAGCCTGACGTAAGCTCGTCGACGCCGGCGAGCGCTGCGGCGGGCGTCCACGGGCGATTGCGGAGGCCGGCGGATGGGAGGACAGGACGGCCGTGGAAGCGGTGGATTCGGGCTGCGGCGTCGGCGTCGGCGTCGGAGGGGAGTTCTAGCCTTGCCAATGCAGGTAAATTTTCAAGGCAGATTGCTTCCAGTTGGGAGGAAACCCCCGTGCTTGTAAGTTTGCATCTGCCATGGTTAATGCAGGGAATTTTTACTGACCTAACACTCGGTGGAGATGCTGAAAATGAGGGGGACGCACTACGCAGATGAGTTCCTGATGATATTCCAATCGGAAATCGAGTGTCAAATTCGCTGTCGCTTCAAATTATGGGTCAAAAAACCGTGTTAATCGGTCACTGTCTCACTGGAGAAATTTCACCAAAATCAAGACTCCGAGCCTTGATTTTGCGTTGCCTGAACTTGCCTGCTCTTTCATGCTGCAGAAGGTGCCCATCTAGAGGAAAGAAATTTTTACGTGAGCTACCCATTTCTTCCTGGTGCTGAGGATTATCATGCACGCGGTCACCTTCTTTGTGGTGGATTACTCTTTTCAATGCACACCAAAGGTGAGGAATTGCTGAGCAACATTGCTTTCCGACAGTTATTCTTTCACATTCGTACAGTTTTAGGTGATGCTTGGTGATTAGTACTTCCCTTTCGTGGAAGCTCGCGATGCGCTTTTCAGTTAAAGTTGCCGTGAATCCAGCATAGGGGGGATGATGACATCCTTTTCTTTGGTCAAGGAATGTTGGGGGTATAGTAATTTTCGTGCTATTTTCCCTCGGCATCAGCATTTCATAGTTCACACGTTAAGCCAACATATTCTTGAGTGGGTTTCCTATATGGCAGGGCATGCCACATGATTTCCTCTTGCCAATCAATGACAATTCTGAATGATATTGTTCATCGTCCACCTTGTAGGTCCTTCTTTTTTTAAAAAATATTTATTCTTATGTATATGTTCTGGGTGTTGTTTGAGAATGTCATGTCCTAGCTCCGTTGTAAAGCTGTCTTCGTTGGCCTCTTCCAAGCAGGAAGGGTCAACGAGTGGGATGCCTTGGCTAATCTGGGAGATAAGATTTGCTCAAGACAAAAACCTGATATTGGCATCTCTAAGAAGTTTTAGCTCGATGCCTGCAAGTGCTTATTAATATTTCATATCTGTTATCTCTTGTCATGCCAATACTTTGTTGGATATATATTAAGGTCAAAGCTATAGGAATCAAGGCCATATGTACCTGTCTGACAGATAAACCTGTTGACATACTGGCCTTGACACTGAAGCCAGATGCTACAAGTAATATTGCCGATCATTGTAAGCATGCATCTCCTAAAATTAGGTGTGACGAATCCATTAACCAATTAAGGCAAGTGCAGGATTCACACGATGCATTTTATTGGAAACCTTACATCCAATGAGGGTGGTGTTTCTTATCCACCAGAAATTTACTAAAATTTCTTATTCCAAAAGGGGCCTGAAAATTCTTGTCTTCATACTCATTTGTTTTTCAAATAAACTTGAAAGAAAGGCCATCGTTTGTGAATGGAGTAAGACAGTAACTGGCTCATCCATACTGGAAAGTAAATGTCTGAAATGTATCAGATGTTATTTAGGACTGGCAGTAGCACAAAGAGAGTGCTATTAATATGCTTTTCTGTTATTTTCCAGGTTCATCATCTTAGAAAATGTTGGTGAGCTCTACCTACCAGGGGATATTCTCTCTGTCTGGAAGGAATGAACAGGAGGTAGGTCAGGTACTGCCTGAGAGACAAACTAGACATTGGTGTGATATACTTCCTTAAAATCACATAAAAATGTATATGATATTAAAGGAAAACTGAATGCCAATGTGGGCACAGTTTAATCACCCCTGTTAATAAGGCTGTTATCTTCTTCACTGGTACTCTCTTGCTACGACTATGCATACACGAAGACTAATACTGTTTCATTTACTCATACCCTAAGTATGGATTTTGCTGACATACGTTGGAGCAATCATACTAGCTACTACTAGCCAGGGGGATCAGCCTAGGCTCCTATCTCTTAACATGTTTCTTTTTCATTCATACTATGGTGCCAGCCAAATTTCAACAATGTGGAAGACAAATAACAGTTGTCCAAATTGAGCTTCCCATCTGGCATGAAGAATTGTTGAATTTGAGCCCTTCTTTTTTTTTTTAAAGACGTGTGGCTAGTGTCCTCAAACCACTAATTTCATCTGGAGTTGATGAAGGAGCAGACAAAGACATACATAATCTTCAGAAACACAAGGTATGTGCTGTATCTTCGTTAGGAAGTCAAAGAGTAGTTTTAGCAAGTTGCTGCCTTTCAGGTTGTATGTATCTTTAGATTGCACCCCAGTGTTCTCTTATTAGCATCCCTCTTTTTTTTAAAACAATCATTAACATCAATCTTGCTAGAAAATGGAAAATGTAATTGCCTGGCAACTTTGAAAAATGAAGTTTCTTTTGTGTGGTATTTCAGATTTTATTCTGCTCATGCAAATCTATGATGAAAGTCACTTAAGTGATATGCTTTTCTCACTGCAAACTGATTTATTTACTGCTCTTGTTACTAACATATTAACTTCCAATCACTGTAACTAAACTTTGATCCACACTGAGCTCAGCTGTGAAAAATCAACCTTGCTCTTTAAATTACACTGCAAACCAATTCCATCTTTCATGGAAATCCCATTGGTCCCTAAAGCATCATTCACTAGCTGCATAATCCACACTACTACAGTTCTATATATTCTTGCACCTCAAGCATGCCACATGCATCTGCAGCTGGGCCAGCCACCAATTCGAATTCCATTTTTTTTTACAGGTACGTGAAACACAAGAACCAGATGCTTGCATAGCTATATATATATATATATATATATATATATATAAGTTAAAGTAAAACATATATCATCATAGAATGAGGAGTAGCAGCAGCAGTAGCTGTTGCAGTAGCAGGCAGACATTGCTCAAAAGCCTGGTTGCTTGGCCCCAGCCTTGAAGGCCACCCCACCAATCATCCACTGCAGCAATGCACAGCAGCACATCATCACAGATGCTTCTGCTGCTTCTCTTCCTCCTCTGCCTCTACCTGTTCAGATCAATCTCTGATGAGCTTCCATCCTCTGCTCCTGCATATTCTTCTTCTTGTTCTTCTTCTTGATCTGCCTGGTTGTGCCTTTGCAGGAAGTTGAAGGCCCTCTTGCCCTGCACCGGCTGCTCGACGGTGCAATCGCTGGTGTGGAGCCGCTTGGACCCGGCGGCCTTGCTCTCGGCCTCCGACGACGACGTCGTAGTCACGCAGCTGTCGGTTGCGGCGGATTGGCGGTGGTGCCGCGGCGGGGAGGAGGAGGACATGCACTCGATGTCCACGGCGGAGGCGAGCTCCGAGAGCTCCGCCGTGGCGGCCTCCGGCGAGCTTGCCAGGCTATGGTCGGCCAGGACTTGCTGCGCCCTGCGTAGCACTGACTGCAGGTACCTCCCCTGTGCCTCCATCCTCAGTTGCAGATGCCTCTTGACCTGCCATGGATAATGGATTAATCAAAACTTGCTTGATCACTGATCAGCTAGACGACGACGAGATGACAATTGACAAATGACAACAATCTCGACGAACTCTGAACTTTTTTTTTTACCTCAATCTGCTCCTGGAGCTTCCTCTGGACTTCCCTCTGCATCTGCACCATGCTCCTGGATGAATCACGGAGACCTTCTTTAGCATCGCCATCGCTGTCGCCGTCGTAAGCAATGGTGCGCGGCTCATCGGCGGCGCTATCGCCGTCGTGGTCGGCTGGTTGGCGCTCCGACGAGGATGACCGGTCGTTCAGGCTGCCGCTGCCTCCGCCGCCTCCATTGCCGCCGCGGCTCACCGCCTGCCGGTACTTCTGCAGCAGCGGCAGAGAGCTTAACACTGTCAGAAACCAAGAACCGATGCAGACAGAGTTTGCGAGAAGCTGATCGGCTGCCGGAGAGAGCTCGCCGGCGGCGTGACGCACGCACGCACGCACCTGGAGGTGGCTCTTGAGGTGGTACAAGGTGAGCCCCGGCACGGCCATGGCCCTCAGCACGGACTTGGGCGTCGCCCCTGCAATGGCGCCAAGAAACAAAGCCGATCGATCAGCCATGCCCATGATCAATGATGTCAGAGGAGGAAGAAGAAGCAAGAAGGCGCGGGGGTGGGGCTTACTGTCCGCGCCGCCGAGCTCCGCCACGGCGAGGACGAACCGCTCGTGCAGCTGCCCGGTCCACCTGAGCCGCGCCCGGGCAGCGGCGGCGGCGGAGGCGGGGGCCTCACCGGCGTGCTGCTGCTGCGACGACATTTCCAGCGAGCCACCACTGCCCACCCCGGTGCGCGGTATCTCTTCAGGATCGGCGGCCTCTCCAGCATCAGAAGCCTCTGCCGGCGACCGATCACCCTCACCGGAGCCGATCGACGACGACGAAGACGAGCGAGCGATGCTGTTTACTGCTGCTGCTGCTGCTTCGTCGTCCAAGTAGCCGTGTGGCTGGGTGAGTTCTTATAGTGGAAGCTTCAAGCTTGGGGTTGAGCTAAGGTAAGCTAAGCTAAGGTCAGTTGGTTCCTTTCCTTGGACTCCACTACTCAGATATATTCCTCTTCGTCTTCCTCCTGCTTCTGCCTGCCCTGACTGCGTGTGTGTGCAAGGGAATATATGGTGGTGGTGGTGGTGAGGAGGAGGGGGCCAGCCATCTTTTCTCACACAAACACAAGGCATCCATGAACATACATGTCACTGACTGGCCGGCCGGCCGGCTTGGCTAGCCTCCCCATCCTTAATTGTTCCTCCTTTTGCTTTCACTTCTTTGACCTGAAAGGAGGGAGAATCTTTGAGCAGTAGGCAGGCAAAAGCAAAACAGTTCAACTACATACACGCCTTCTCAAAAGGATAGAAATTCGTGCGTGAGAGAGAAAAATAATTAAACTAATAGTAGTAGTAGAAAAGATGGAGAAAGTTTAGGAGAGAGAGAGAGAGAAGATGTGGCATATATATGTGTGCTGTTTGTGCATTGTTCTCTTGCTGTTTTCTCACACTTCTCAGCTCCTCTCTCCCTTTGCTGGATTCTCAGTGCCCCACCACCACCACCACTATCTCTCTCTCTTCAACTATCAGAGCTCCCTAGCCTTAGCTAGGGCGATGCAACTTTCCCCCACACACCAAAATTTGCTTCCAAGTGAAGATTAGATAGATAGACAGACAGACACACAGATATGCTAGGAGTGTGTGTGTTTGTGTGATCCATCTTTTTTCATATCACACTCTTCACTCTTGCTGTAAATTGTAAACAAGTAAAACACTGTTAATTGTTAAAAGTAGAGAGCATGAATGAATAAAAAGGGTGACAAGGCCATTCAGAGGAAGCAAAAGGGTTGTTAGATGGGTGAAAGAAAGGAAGAAAAATATCAATCAAAAGGGGAGGTGAGGTGAGGTTAAAAAAAAACTAGGAGGAGAGAAGAGAATAATGGTGGTAACCTTTGCGTTTTCAGAGGACCCCAACAGTATCCTGATGCAATTGGCAAACTGCCTTTGGCTTTTCTGATGATAGGGGAATCAAGGAATCTAATCCAGATCTCAGAGCACGGAAGTAATCGGGACTTAGCTATCGGCATGGATCAAAAGGAACCTTCTGTTAAAAGGCGCCCTCTGTGTGTATGTATCTATATATGCATCTAATATATGTGTGCATGCGTGCGTCTGTGTGGCCAAGATCGCAAGTTACAACAGGAGATGGTCGTATTCTCTCCATTTCATACTCAGACCCTCCTTTCAATCATGATTTCCTTTTTTTCGTAACAATTTCTAGCTATTTGCTGTTATACGAAAATCTCGTAAAATTCCTGCTCTCAATTCTCAACTCTTATGGTGTGCTGCTATTCAGCAGCTGGAATGTGTTTGTATAGTGTTGTTTGTTAAGAAATTGTATGGTCGTTGTAGGGTATTTGGTGAAGCGAGCACTAATAAGTGAGCCTTTTCATGGGATTTGTAGAGCCAAATGATGAGTGGGTCCAATGAAAGGACTCATCAGCTTTCACTGTTTTTAGCATCGCTAGTTTTTCTACCGAGGCTGGCGGTTTGTAATCGAAACACAAATTTGTCTGTACAGTTTTTGTTTTTGAGGACGTCCTTGAGAGTTTTTTTTCCTTGAGTTTTGCAGGGTCAAACATCAAAATCAGGGGAATATGTCTGAAAACCAAGCCAGCCAGAGAGTAGCAGCAGAAGGTGGCATATTCATGCCTGTACTTGTGCATTGGCGTCAAGCCGTCCAATTGCACTAGAGTTTCAGAGATCACACTGTGCTGCTGCAAGCTGAATCATGCAGATGTAGGCCATTGCCAAAAACTCTCATGTTGTTCCCATGACAAGTGGTCGCTGACAAAATGCCTGACCTTGCTTGAATTGCATGCGCAGGTGCAGGCGAAGACGGAGTACCAGGAAAGGAAATTCAGCGACATGTACAGGGACAGGTATGGCTCTTGAACAAGTCTTGCTTGCATGGACAGTTGTTGGATTGATCTCACACTGTTCGATTATTCATCCAAGTTTGGGCCTGTTTAGTTCCCAAACAAAAAAAAATTTACCCTGTCACATCGAATGTTTGGACACATGCATGGAGTATTAAATATAGACAAGAAAAAAACTAATTACACAGATTGTATGTAAATTACGAGACGAATCTTTTAAGCCTAATTGCTCCATGTTTTGATAATGTGGTGCTACAATAAACATTTGCTAATGACAGATTAATTAGGCTTAATAAATTCGTCTCGCAGTTTGCAGACAAAATCTGTAATTTGTTTTATTATTAGTCTATGTTTAATACTTTGAATGTGTGTCTGTATATCTGATGTGACACGCCAAAAATTTTCGTTCGCGAACTAAACATGCCCTTTGTTTGTTTTTCCTTTTGGTTGCATAATAAACAGTTACTACTGCCTGTGAATTACTACTAGTACTTTGTACCATTTGATTCAGTGATTTCATCTGGCCAAGAATATGCCACTGATGATGTCTCAGACTTTTTTTCAGGTCTCTCTGCAAAGATCTGAACCAAGGGCAGCGCATTGTGATCAAGAGAAGGCGCCGGGGTTTGATTGAACAGTTCACTCAGATCAGCAGCGCACGTTTCGCTCTGAAAGCACCGGTCCTTTTCGCGGTTAGTCCCCCCTCCCTCTATCAGTCTCAAGCTCGCTGGCGTTGCTGTCAGCTCCGCAATTAGCTTGAGGACAAGCGTTTTGTCCACTCATCAACCAGATGCTTTGGCCTGCATTGTCTTCCTTGTTGGCTATGCTAGCTTGCAAAGAACATCACCATGTTTATTCCGGCATCTCATGATTGTGTGCCGTTCGCATGAGCAGTGACTTGCATGGGAGGGCAGGCCGCATGTTTGGTGGTGGTGGCATCTTAGGTGACATCCTAGTGGTTGTCTGAATTTACATCGCGAATATTCATATTCGTATTTCATATTCATGTTCATACTACCACAGAGGATTAAAAGCGCGGGACGAGGCATCGGGCTAAGATACGGGGAATTTTTTTCCCTCCTTTCCTCCGCATCTCCTCTGCCTGCTTTGCTCATGCTGCCTCCGATTGATTTAGCACGAAGAAGAAGGGGAAAAAAAACAAAAGGGCCTGCCAAAAGGCTAGACAGCATTTTGAAAATCAAGAAAGGTTGGCTGGCTTTACTTTAAGCAATCTGATGCAATACCTGCTTAGAAAAATGGCCTCTTCGTGTTTTCTTGCTGCTTTAACATATTCCAGGTCAAGGAGGAGGAGGGAGAAAAAAAAAAGCAGATTCTTGAATGATGCTTGGGCTAGGTGAGGTGAGGTGAGGGAGGGAAGAAGCAAGCACTGGCTGCCACAACAAGTCACAGGTCATTTTGGCAAAGGTGAGAGCATCATCAATAATTCTTTCTAAAGAGCTCATCAAAGTCTATCATCTGATTTTTAAAGGTATCAACAAGGAAAGGGGATTGAGAGTGTTTATGTGTTGTGTGGACCCAAGGGAATCGGAAAAGTACTCCGGCAAGATGCCAAGGTAACCCACATGAGGAATTCCTATCCATCTGTCAGTGAAGTAACATGCTTGCCCCCGGGCAGCCACATAATTGCAGCATAATTACCTGGCCATTTGGGGGATTTTGGCTTCCTATTCTTTTACTTTGTTTCGTATCCTTTTCATTATTGTTAATTTTATATTACGGTATGTAAAGTTCGGGATTTGTCGAACCAAATGTCATATTGAGTTGAATGCACGGAGAATCCATCTTTGCTCATTTTGTTAGGGTAAAAGAAAAATGACAGCGAATAATTAGGACGGTACCGATGCTTCTGTGCTGAAAATTGTTATTCCTTGATTGTTCCTGCTAGGGTTCCTGTGAGCTCTGATGGTTTCACCATGACCTGTCCATGATCAATCCGTGGGAATCTTGCTTTTTTGACTTTTAGAGAGAAATTAAAGGTGTGGTGGCCTCAAGAATTTACTGGTGGTTAATCTTGAAGCATGAATCTTAATGAAGAAATCTTTCCTTCAAAGGAAAGGCTGGGAGGTTGTAAAGCATTTTTATGACCGAATTATCATAAAAATGAAAAATATATTTTCCTACATCGAGAAACTATTGAATTGATATTAGTAGCAACCTCAAATATCATAACTTGCTCATGAAGCTAAGCTGTTGGTTAGGTTCTGAATATACTGAACTTTGCTTTAGAACATATCTCTTTCCACCTCTTCAGATAAGGTAGGCAGGATTCCAATGATCCACAAAAGAAAGGCGTTCGCGGAATATTTCATAGAGATGATAAACCAAAGTTGATCAAAAGAGGAAGATGGAGAAAATAAAGGGGGGTGAGAGTGCATTTGAGTGCTAAGCATTAGCTAAAGAAAAAGCTTATCTTGATCAAACTCCACTGAAGTTTTTACCAGGTCTTATGAACTAATCCCCAGGATGAAAAATGAGACAACCAAATCATGATTGATCGATTGGCATATTGTCGGTGCGTTCTTCTTTCTCTGTGCATCTGACAACCCACAACTTGCAGTGTTCAGAGAACAAGTGACCGGCATATCAACATGCATGCTGTGAATGAAATAATTCACCTCTTAGGATGCTTTTGTTCCCTGAAATGCATGTATCACTTATGAAGATGCTCTTGGAAGAAGAATTTTTTCATGGGCTAATGGTGCATGAAATTGGGTTGAGCCAGCTCTCTTTCAGACAACCAATTCAACCCTTTGCTTGTCAGATATGCACCAATATCTTAGCTTTCCCAGCTGTGATATTCCAGTTTGTAAGATGCCTGGTAAGCAGATTGCGATGGATCGAATCGACACCGGACTCGAACATTATTCGACTGAACATTGACTGTTCATTCGGTTCCAAGTTCAACTTCGAACAAAGTATTACCGTTCCTTTTCAGACGAAAACTGATGATATATTCTTCAGGAAGTTTCAGAACTGGCAAATCTTCAGGAAAAACAGATATGTGCTATCTGCTATGCAATGTTCTGAACACTGCATTTACAGAAGTAAGATTCCTTACATCTATTGACTAATCTCCCCATGCACCTGATCTATCATACTATGCTACATTAAAACATCTGTTGACTAATCTCCATTACCATCTGCAGGATTCCATCAGAGTGATTACATTAGGATAAAAGAAGATGTAGCTTCTTTCAGTTTCCCTTTCTTTCAGACGTCCTTAGACTGAAACTGAACATCAAGCACGCATGAGCACAGGGACACTGAAACCGATAAATCATTCAGGAGGGCAGGAATGCAGCACAGCAAAATCTTTGCTTCAATGCTAAGACTTTGTGAGGATGACTTTAATTTGGAGCACTTGCCTTTAGCTGATGACAAGTATATAGCTATGCTTAGCTCTTGCACAGAAAAGCAAGCATCTCTGCACTGCACCACCCCCCAACTCCAATGTGTCATATGTGCAATAGCCAAGAGATAACTGAGAACAAACTAAAGCAAGGGCATGAGCAAAAGAAGGCAAAGCAATGTGCTTTCCAAAGATGTGAGATTTTGCTTGCGCAAGTGGTATTATTAGAGTCAATCATTTGGTGATAAGACACGAAATGTGGCGACGATAAGCAATGCATATATGTGTAAACGTGGCGCCGTCTCCATTTCACATTTTTTTCCACTCTCACTTTAATTTGCTTAATCACCCAATTTATCAGTACACGTTGCTCGTTTATTGTTTCCTCTCTAAATTTCCTGCAAAATTTCACTGAAACACCTCTTGCAAATTTCCTTAAAAGTGCTACAGCTATACAGTAGTTATATTGCTTTAAGATTTATGATAGCCACGTGTCACAAAGTGAAGCAAGGTTCTTCAGATGACTAAAGGACCCGTTCTTAGCTTACTGGGGGTAACAACCCGATTATTTGTGCTATGCTTCCAAAAAATACGATTTCTTGAAAAAATTCTAAACATCAGGATTACCTAGATTAATTTCTATAAGCTATATGTTAACTTTACAATATATAATATTTGATTCGGCTATAATGTCAGCAGTTCTGAATGGACTCTAAAAAGCCGATGTCATATGTAATTTTCTTCACTAAAGTTTTTCTTTTATAATGGATTAAAACTCAGCCTCTACATGATTTGCTTCACTTTAGTTAGCTAATACTAAATACCAAACCTCCGAGCCAATTTTCTTTCTTAAAAAAACATAATATATAGTACTAAGTACAATTAAAAAGAAAAGCTAAACACAAAATTGATCAGTAGAGTTTCATACCACTGGTTTCAGAAACCTGCGGTTTCCAAACGACGAGAGAGTCGCTGTCAGAAATGAAAAGAGAAAACGGAACAAAACCAACTTTGTCGATCTGAAGGTCATGGGATTACCGACAAGATATGCTCTTTTGGGAGATATGGATTGGGCAATGACGGGGCAAGCACAAAGAGAGTGTGTGTAGCCGACGTACTACGTAGCTAGTGGCTCTCAAGAAGAAAAGAAAAAAAATAAAAGATGAAACAAAATGTTTGTTTAGTGGCGAGTGGAGACTCGTCGATTGGAGTCATTGCAATAGGGAGAGGGAGAAGGAGAACTCAACTAAGACAAGCAAAAAGAAAGAGAGAGAATTATGATCCTCTTGATTCCCCTTTGGTACTAATCACAATATAAACAATTAGTGGATGAAAAGGTTGTTATTATTTGTGTGAAACCTGTTTGGTTTTTTTATTATGTTTAGATCATGGTGTGTGTTTTTAATTTTTTTAGTACATACTGTGCCATAAAGTCCTAAAAATTATCACGTTAATCATTGAAAAAAGTCTAAATTAAATTGATAAAGTTGTATATAAAATACAATGACATGTATAAAAAGCATAGTTATATAGCTATATAGTAGGTCTATACAAACCGGTTTTACTAAATACACTAAAGAACTGATCTTTTAACATGGTATCCAAAATCACAAATATCTCGGTTAGATTAAAAATCGGTAATAAAGATGCTTTAGTACCGGTTCTAAAAATCCAAGTCTCTAGAAACATCTTACCAACTGGGACTAAAGATACATATTTAGTACCAGTTGGTAACACCAACCCGGACTAAAGATATTTTTAGTATCAGTACTAAAGATGCCTCTAGTATTAGTTCAAAAGGAAAGCATCTCTATTTATGTTAGATGTGTGTAGTAGGTGGGATGGTTACGCATGTGAGGGTTGAGACGAGAGATCTTGAGTACACATCCCACATTTTTTTACTTGCTATGTATCTTTAGTACCTGTTTTTTTAACTGTACTAAAGATCGAGGTCTTTAATCCCAAATTGCTCTTCTCAGTTGCTATAACCGGTAGTGAAAAGGTTGTAAACTGAGACTAAAAATCGTTTCCCATGCAGTGACAGCATTAGGTTAGTTCAATTTTAGGATACAGGGTTGGCTTGTTGTTATCATTTTTTTTGGCTCTACACCAAGCTTCCATTGTAGACAAAATAGTCGAAGTAGTTCTTTGATCTCGAACTTAGCTCTTGGCCTTGGTGACAATTGAATAAAAACCAGTTTCAAGGCCAATTTAAAATAATTTTGGAATAAACACTATCTAGTAAAATAATTGAAAGGTTTTCGGATTAACCTACAAAGGATTTTGTACTCTATAGATAGCTTAAAATGAAAATCGACGAAGATAGATGAACTAAACTAAAATTAGGGTAAAGAAAAGAGTAAAATGCAAAATAACAATTCTTACGAGATGTACTTGATAGTGCAACGGCAAGAGGTGTATGATTTCAACCCCAAAGTCTCATATTCAATCCCCAATATACTCATAACTTTTCTTAAGAAATATTTGGAGGGATGTCTTTTCCTCCAAAATTTTATTTTTTTCTATAACAATTCTTACATATTGAATCGATTGTTTTCAAATGAATTGGCCATAACCATTATAAAAAGGAATGGACTTGCAAGAAACAAATTGCCCTGCTGTTCCAATAAAACTACATATGCAAACAGGTTTCGGAAAAACCCAAGCCCAAACAAGCAAACACGAAAAATAATTAAAATCAAGTACACTTGGGGTTGCCGGTCAAAACACTAAAACACTGACGGAATAGTTGGAGTCATTATACCTAGTTATGATTGTGGTTGTCGAGCCACAGCTATAGTCGCAGCTTCTCCAACATTATTCTTCGCCGGAGCTGATCGAATTCGTCAGGAAGCCGCTCTAGCTTGAGCCGTTCATCACTGCCCTGCTGCATCCCCACCGCCGAGAGAAAATTTAGGGGAGAGATAGGAGGGGTAAGGAAAGGAAGCAGAGAGAGAGAAGGGGGAAGGAATGACATGTGGGCCCACCTTTTTAAAAAAAATTTTTGTGATGACTAATGACACGTCAGCCAATACCACCTTCTTCGATATTGTACGAGGAGTCATCACTAGGTTTGACAGTTGGGGGATTCGTTATTCCTGGTTTTACAGTTGAGCAATACGTATCATATCCAACGTATAATAAGGGACCAAAAGTGGACTTTTTCCTTTGTGCAACCTCGCAAATGACCATCGAGTCAGAGATGGCAGGTTGATGTGCAACGTGTGGGCTGTGTTCCTGCTTGCGTTGGGCCGTAGCGCCGGCCAGAAGTCCAAACCTTTCCTGGGCCTCCTGGGCTGAACAGGCATATCGGCCCAAAACGATATACCTCCTTATAAATTGGCAAAATTATAAATCGTAGGGAGAACAAAGAATGGCCCTCTTTCACAACACACATTTCCTTTTTCTTCTCATAATCTTGATGAAATTGAACTTACTCCTGTACAAATTCTGCTGCAAATTGAACTTGTCTCATCTTTTCACTTATGCCTATACTTATCAGCCAAAATTTGAATTTTTCGACCTTAAATTTAGAATTGATTTTGAGGTTTTTTTCAATCGAAGTTTATTTTTCAGCCTTTACTTTTAGATCGCTAAGAACATGTATATAAAATTTTTATTCGCAAATTATTTTCCGTTTGCAAATATGCCGTTTGGCTTATTCCTGGAATAAGCCGATTAAACGATGGAGCCCGTGTGTTTCAAATGATATGTCAAGCAACTAAAAATTTAAACCGTATCTCTCGATCATATCGATTATCAAGCAAAGCAAACCTTATATATAGGTTGTGTGCCGTATATATGGCAAAGTTCGAGGATATAAATTATTTTCGTTATTAAGATTCTATGAGACAATATCTGCTCTAATATGCAGAGTAGCTCCAAGATGGGTATATCCTCTATAGAATATGAGCAACATGACCTCTTGTTAGCAATTTGTTGGCTTATACTAACATGGCAGGTTCCTGTTCGCTGGAAAATTTCCTCTGAATATTATTGAATTAATTTAATCTTGTGAAATTCCTCTGAATTCTTACACTACAGCGTCAGCCAAAAGGTTTATACATGTTGACCTGATGAAATTCTCATGCACCAAGTAAAATCATTGCCTTTGCCTTTTGTCTCACTGCCAACATTTTGAGTCGATCGTACATAGCTTGTCATAATTTTGTAGACAGCAGTGACAGCACTCCATGCATGCAACAAATTGATGATGGCCTTCAACCACTTGATTCAGATCGTGGTTGATCAAACTTAAAGTACATCGGACAAAGCGAGAGAACTAACAAAATTCCTCTTCCGCATGTTATAAATGAAATTTATAGAGACTCCATGAATTGATGAGAATATGCTTCATATATAGACCCCGGTCCCTGCAAAACCCTGACAGAGACAGGAGAATTCACCTGCAGCCATCACACTAGCTAGACCTGATAGAGACGACATCTCATGTGGCTGCACTCACAAAATCAATCATCAAAGCTAGAGCAGGGTACAGCCAGACACACTGAATGTGTTAGTAGATCAGCTGGAAATGAATTAATAGTGGCGGCCTTCAAACTAGCCTGCAACGACCTAGTAGTAGTAGTAGTTTGGGTTTCCCTTACCGTCGCCCGGGAGGTATGATAAGCACGGTTACCACCGTGGCAAACCGTAAAAAACGGTATAAAATTTATCAAAAAAATTAGATTATTTTTTAAATTTATTTGAATTTAATAGGACTACTGTGGTTTTACCTTTATCGTACCTAGCAGTAAGTGTGATTACTGCTATAACCACGTGGTTACCATCCGTTTTATAAACCCTAATAGTAGTACTGCATATATTAATCATAGGACACAAATAATATATACCCTCCTAGCAAAAATATACTCTTTGACTCCTCTCAGAATGTTTAGCTTAAAAACAAGAAAGATGTTATAAGAAGATTTGCCTCAAAAAGTATTATCATAATACATCATAAACTTATTTTGATAGAATATTGATGGTCAAATTTAAAATATTTAACCACATCATGCCTTTACATGTCAAATATTTACAATTAGGATGAAGCATTTGCGCATATACTTTCTCTTCAGTCGTAAGTATATAACGTTGAGGATAAGATTTCGTTGAATATAACTTCACAATATCACAAACTTATAAATATAACTTATCGGGACAATATTATATTGGTGGTCAAACTTTAAAAAATCTAGCTGACAACATGTTATCTTAAACGTCAAATATCTACGTATAGATAGAGTCTACATGCTTACTATATTCTGCACCACACAAAGGCATGCATGAACAAACTGAATTTAATTTTGCACGTGCCTGCTGTGCCTGTGCAATCCAGCAGCTGAAAACAATCTGCGATAGGTTTGCTGGTTTGTCCG